TACGAATTGTGCTTGAAACTTAAGGGCTCTGGCTTTCTTCTTTGTGATGCCTGCCTCCCTCCTTCTCAACACGATCATGCATATCCGAGCCAAGCTGGCCATCATGTCTGGCGCCATCAACGAGAAGAGCCGCGCTCAGCACGCTGTACGTTGGCGAATCCCAAAGCGCAACCTCAGTCAAGCTAGCCGGCTGACCTCTTGCACTCCATCAACGCCATAACCATTGACCATATCGCTCCCCCTCCTTTCTCTCTCTTTTTTTTTTTTTTGTTGTTGCCCTGCTTTGATCGTGTAGGCCCGCGTGGCCACCGTGCAAAAGGCGCTCCGCGAATGGAACGATGAAGGCCGCAAGACCAAGCTCTGCACCGCCCGCCCCGGCTGGTTGGCCATGTCGCTTCGTACCGGCCGCTACAAAAAAACCATGACTGGCATCCCCACCCACAAGTTGGGCAACGTCATCTCCATCAACGAGGAGAAGCGCACCGTCTTTGTCGAGCCCAACGTGACCATGGGTCAAATCACTGCCACCCTCATGCCCCTGGGCTGGACGCTTCCCGTCCTCCCCGAGCTCGATGATCTCACCGTTGGTGGTCTCGTCTGCGGTGTGGGTATTGAATCCTCATCCCACAAGTGAGTGTGGCTCGCGTCGCCTGTCCGCTTGGGGTGAAGTTGTCTTTTTTCTTCCTTTCCTGTTTACTTTTTTCTTTTTTTTCCGTCCTGGCTTGTTTGCATTGAATCACGAAAACAGATGTGACAAGCCAATTGCCCTTGCTTACACTCGCCTGGCGCCTTTCCAATTTTTCTCAGGCACGGTCTCTTCCAGCACTGCTGCAAGGGCTTTGAGCTTGTGTTGGCCAGTGGTGAAGTTGTGTCTTGCAGCGCCGATAACAACCCCGAGCTCTTCAAGGCTGTTCCTTGGTCCCACGGTACCCTCGGCTTTCTCGTGGGTGCCGAGCTTGACATTGTTCCTGCCAAGCCCTACGTGCGCCTCGAGTATGTCCCCCTCTTTGATCGCAAGACCGCCGTGGAGGTATGCCCGTGCTGCCATTGTTCGCCTTTTCTCCCGTTGACCGAACTTGGCCAGTGACTCGGCAATGCTGAAAGTCCTCTCAACGTCCACGCAACCTGATCCACCCCGTCCCCGACGCTTCACAACCTAGACTTGCCTCGAGTCTTACAAGAACACTGACCTCGACTTTATTGAGACGCTCATCTACTCGCGCGACGAGATGGTCCTGATGAAGGGCGCCATGGTCGACAAGCCCGAACCCGGAAAAGTCAACGCCATTGGCACTTGGTACAAGCCTTGGTTCTTCACCCACGTCCGCAGCTATCTTGAGAAGGTCGGTGGCCTCTCTTACTTTCTTGGCGTCAATAAAACTGGCAAAATCTCAAGCGTTTTTTCTTTTCTTTTCTTCCCTTCACTTGTTGCAGAAGAAGCCCGGTGTGGAATACATTCCTCTGCGTGACTATTACCATCGCCACACCAAGAGCCTGTTCTGGGAGCTCCAGGATATCATTACCTTTGGCAACGATGTGAGTCATTCGCAATCTCAATATTTTGCCGCTCCGTCTTGTGCGGCTGCTGTCCCTGCCATGTGTCGTGTATAATGGTTCTGACCCCACCTTGATTGCGGTTTCTATATAGCTCTGGTTCCGTGTTCTCTTTGGCTGGATGATGCCCCCCAACCACAGCATCCTGAAGCGTACTCAGACCGAGGAGCTGCGCAAGCTCTACGAAGACCACCATGTCGTCCAGGACATGCTCGTGCCCGGCTCCAAGCTGCAGGAGTGCCTGGATGTCCAGGACCGCGAGTTTGGCTGCTATCCTCTTTGGCTTTGCCCCATGCGCATCTTCCCCGAAGACGCTGGCTTTATCAAGCCTGCCAAGAACGGCGAGGAGATGTTTATTGATCTCGGCATTTACGGCAACCCCTCCAACAAGGATTTCAAGCCTCAGGTCAACCTGCGCAATGTTGAGAACTACGTGCGCTCTGTTGAGGGCTTCCAAATGCTGTACGCCGACATGCTGCAGTCGCGCGAGGAGTTTGAGGAGATGTTTGACCACAAGTTGTACCGCAAGATGCGCAAGGAGCTTGGCTGCGAGGGCGCCTTCCCTGAGGTCTACGACAAGGTCTGCAAGGCTGCTCGCTGGTAAGGCGCCAGGCGTTGGCTGCCTATGGAGAACCCTGCACACAAGACTCCCGGATCTTTGCGTGCTCTTTTTTCCCTCTCCTCTCCAGCCCTCTCCCTTTCTGGCTGGGCTTTACACGAAAGCCGCCAATCACTTGTTATTGATGTATCTGTCTCGAGTTGAAAAAAAGTAACATTTGCGAGAGTGCATGTGATTGATGTGGGCGCTTCCCTTCCTTTCCCCCTTGCGCCTGTCCCTCCTCACCACGGATTGACATGGAGTGCGTCTCCCTTTTTTCCTTCTTTCCTTTTCCGCCCACGTTCTCCCCCCAATTGAGTTGTTTTAATCCCCATCATCTTTTCTCAGTCCTAACCACGACCACCTGTTCAGACTGGCGAGTCACTATAATCTTCAAGGCACAGAGTGAAGTTTGCGTTGCCACATGGGCGTGTTTTTGTGTGTAATTGGCCGCCGTGTAGCCCAGATCCCGAGCTGTTCATAAGCAGCCGGACGACGACGAGTCAAACGGCACCTTCACAACCTCATTCCCCATTAAGCGTGTCAACCTTAACAACTTGCCCTGTCGTCCAACACCAGTGCTGCTCGTCTGTAAGATCTCATACACACGAAGTGAAGTATTTTCTTCATCAATTACCACAATAGCAATTAGGGTTTCTACGATATCTTGTATATGCTCGTATATAACCTTTGGATTGAACCCGTTGTGCAATCCAAGTTGCGTTGCGACATTTTCCTCTCTCTCTCTTTTTGGTAAAAAAAGAAAAAAAAGTTTTCCGTATGTGTGTGTGTGTGTGTGTGTGTGTGTGGAAACGGCAGCCGGTGCAGAGCACGTCGCTCGCTGCTGGAGCTGCGCACACTGGCGCCGGGATCATTGACTGAATGCGGGGAAAGAAGAGCATCGTTTTAAGCCTTGGTGGTCTTGGCAGCTCACCATTGGTTGCTCCATGCATCTGTAGAGGTGGTGTTGGAGCAAGACGCGGTCTGCCGAGGTGGTTCACTCGTCGGCTCGGCACGGCCCTTGCTGTTTCCATCTCCTTGGTTGCTCCCTGGTCGCTCAACGGCCTGACCTTGACGTTGTTGTTGGATTGATTGGTATTGACGTATGTTGTCGGGCGCTCTTGGTGACTGCGGTGGTCTGGTGCTGGGAGCTGCTGCTGCTGCTGCTTGCCTTGACAACCCATTGAAATGCCGCTTCCGCTCCCAGGACCGTTGGCCATCGTTCGCACGTGCGAACGCGGTGTCGATTGATTGCTGCCACTTTGTTCGGGTTGCCCCTTGCCCATCCTCCTTGCTGCCAATACCCGGCTTTGTCTTCCCCGCACCCGAGGACCAAAGCGCACAATAATGGCTTTTCTCCTGGCGGAAGTCAGCCTGCAGGCGCTGGGCATGGCCGCCGCCGCTGCGCATCGGTGTGAAGAAACGTTGTACGCGGGTTTGGTTCGCGTCGTGCGTCACGACTGGCTTCCATCACGGGTGTTTGATCGACTCGGTCACCGAGCCCCACGCCGCTGCGTTTCCACCAAGGAAGAGATGCTCGTCCGGGTCAAAGCGGCCTCGGTCACCAAGGTATCACAAGGCGGTCCCTGGCGCGTGTCTTGTCCCACGGTTCCGCCCGCGTGCTAGAGGGGACAGCCGGATGCTCATCCTGTTCTGCTGCGCCTTGGCATCAACTGTGGCTAGATTGTGATGCTCAACCATACCTACGACGATGTGCAAGCATTTACCGCTCGGGTGCCGTCCATCTCGATGAGCAGCCTGATCTGGACCACGCGTGATGTGGCGCTCGCAACCTTGGAAGAGACGCGGCGTCTTCCCTACACCAAGCGTTGGATCCAGGACTGTGATGATAACATCTGCGCTCTCATCCGCGACAGCCGCCGTCCCTTGATCATCATCACGCACAACGAGGCCACGCACTACTTTGATCAGGCTGTTGACGCGGTTCGCTTCTTGCGCCATGCCATGGGCCGCAACCACTACGTCATTGTTTGTAGCCACCGCGGCGTGCAGGAGGAAAAGTCGGTTCGCACTCTGTTACGCTTGACGGGCCTGACAGATCCCGCCGACCAGGACATTATTTGGAACACGGTCCAACCCGTGAGCAACAGCACCACCCTGACGGGACTTTACGTGGCCGATCTCTCCGACAATACCCTGCTCCGCGTGGGTCACACCTTTCATCGTGGTGCCACGTGGACCATCGTCCTTCAGCCCAATCTGGAGGACGCCAACGTCCTCCTTCCTCGTATCTACCGGCAGAGCCCCTCCACGGGCACTTTTTTCTTCTTCGCCGGCCCCAGCAACGCACGCCACGGTGCCCCACTCTTGGGGGGCCAGTGCTTCACCGTCACTGACTTTATGTGTTTGCTGGAGAACCAGCGCCGTCGCAGCCTCCCCGATATCATCATTGTCTTGGCCACGGGCAATGCTATGCGCCAAGCGCGTGCCGTGGAGGCCTCACTCGGCAACGGCCGCGACCCTCGCTGGCTCATCCGTCAAAACTTGCTGAATATCCTGGGCAAAAAGCACCCGTTTGCCATGTCCTGGTCGACCACGCTTTGTGGTGATGACAGCTCCTTTGACCGCAAAATCTCGGATGGCCGCCCTCCCAAGATGGCCCACCTGGCGGTACCGGCCCCCTCGGAGGCCGAGCATGCCGAGCGCACGACCATGAGCCTGGCCGTGCTCTTTCGTCGCTTCCCACGTGCCGGCTGGCATTGCAACTGGCAACGTCCACCCGTTCGCTTTTCCTCGGACCGCATCGGCACCTCACGCGGCGTTCGCGAACTCGTCAAGGCCGACAATGCCCGCCAGCGTCTTCCCCTGATCCTCTGGCCCATGGGTGTAGCCCCAGGTAATAATGTGGCCACCATTGGTGTCGCTCTTGATAGTTATGACCGCGATGCACAGGAACGAGCCCGCACACCCAGTGATTAGACCGAGCCGTTCCATGTCGTCATCCGGAAGGAAAAAAAAAAATGCAACGTTGACATGTTTGATGCTGTCCCCCTTACCACCCTAATTGGAATAAGTTTTTAAAACAACGTGCTCTTGACTCCCGTGTACGAGCACGCAAGGGCGCGTGTATTTGGCGTGCTGGCGGACGGTGGGCGAGACCGGTGCTGCTGCTGTTTTGTTGATTGGCTGTAGTTTTGCCTTCTTCACAACTCTGGGCTAGCAGATGTCGCAGTCATGTCGGTCAAGTGTGTACCGGGAGGGGGGATTAGAGACGCTTGATGAATCAATTGAATCCCCATCACGCGCGGTAGGAGAGAACCAATCCGGGCGTGGCCACCTCTCAGAGGCGATACGGCGTGGCTTCTTCAAAGCTGGGCAATCTATGGGAGGAACACGCCTCCAAGTTGCTTGATAATTTCAGTCAAATGTTGCGCGTGATGTGTGCGGAGGTTGTCTAAAAGTGGGTGCTCGTCGGTCGCTGCGAGGCCAAGTGACTGGCGCTGCATGTCTCGCATACGACAAAGGTTGTCTCCGACGTTTTGAAGGTGGGTTTGATGGGCCGGAGCCAGCCGCACACGGGTTCTTGGTAGTTGTGGCAGCAGGTCAGCTGCCGCGGGCCAGGTGGCTAGATCCCAGATGTCACCTTCGGGTCCGGCGCCCGCGTCTTCGGGTGCCTCGGCGCGCGGAGCAGGTGGGGCTGCGGGGCCCACGGGCTGCTCTGGCAGAGCTGCCTCGACCGGCGGTGATCGGCGGGCCGCCTCGAGTTCCTCGACGGAGATGGGATCCACCTCACGTTGTCGGAGGAGTGGAGCCAGCTCAGCCAAGCAGTCAGTCGGGTCCACGTCAGCCTCGAGTTTGTCGAGGAGATAGCGGAGCACGGCGCCGCGTTGGCGCTGCGCGTGGTACCGGGTAAAGCGATCAATGGGGCCAAACGGCTCTGGGGCAAACCCGTGTGCCCGACTGCAGTTGGCTGCACACACGTGGGCGTCTTGACCGGGGGCGGCGGCGCGCAAGCACCAGCCGCAAAAGCTGCAGCGGCAAGCGGCACAAGTCAAGGCAAAGCAACCTTCAAAGTCGGCAAAGGCCTGGCGGCAAGCCTCGCGCGGGCAGCGCAACGTCAAAAGCTCATCCGCTACGTGACGGACGATGCTTGCCCGGGAAGAGGACGGGTCACGCGCGGCGTGTTGTTGAGCGTTGTGAACACCGGTGCGCTCGCCCCGCGCCCGTTCGCGAGCCAGCAAAGCCTCCTCGTAGCGATCAAAGGTTGCATCGTCCAGTCGCTTCACCAGCACCCGAGTCACACAGCGGCCCGGACACTTCATGGGGCAAGGAAGATGGGTCTCCAGCTGACCTGCACCGGTGCTGGGAGGCTGGGCCACGAAATCCTCGACGTAAGCCGTCAAACACTCGTCACAAATCACATGCGACGCCTCCACCGAACACACGGGCTGTGCTGCCAACCCCACGGCTGCCAGCTCCTCCGCCCCCCGGCAGCACACCCGACACTCGTCCATCCCACAAGCCTCCAAGCCTCCAAGCCTCCAAGCCTCACCCTCGCACACCCCCTCGTACACACCCCCCCCGCTCGCACCCTCGTACACACACAGCCGTGTGCCTCTGTGTGTGTGTGTGTGTGTGTGCGGTTTGAGAGAGAGAGAGAGACAGAGAGATATGTAAAATACAATTTAGAGGATGAGAGAGAGAAAGAGAGCAGCTTGAGAGAGTGTTTGAGAGAGAGATTTTGAGAGAGAGAGATTTTGAGAGAGAGAGATTTTGAGAGAGAGAGATTTTGAGAGAGATTTTGAGAGAGAGAGAGAGAGATTTTGAGAGAGAGAGAGAGAGAGAGATTTTGAGAGAGAGAGATTTGAGAGAGATTTGAGAGAGAGAGAGAGGATTTTCTTTTTGGCGGTTTTTTTTTTTTTTTTTTGTTATTTTCGGATTGGTATTTGGTCGTTCGAGGTCCTGATCCGTCTCGTGGTCCGACGTTCGTGGTCTCGTGGTCCGAGGTCCGTGGTCTCGTGGTACTGGTGCTACTGGTGCTACTGGTGGCTGGAGTGTTGCGTGCGTTGGTTCCATTTGATCGGTTGCTGATACGTGCGGCAGCGTGATCGGGTGTGAAATAATCGAAGCTGGACACGGCAGGAGGGCTCTCACTCGTGCCGTGTCGTGTCGCGTGTGGGGTTGATTGTCCTTTCAGCAAGACGGACGGTTGGTGGGGGGATAGGACGCGACGGTGTGGTAGCAGATTAGATGGCTGCACAACGACTGCGGGCAGAACGGGATCGACTGAGCATGCGCTCGAGCGTGCTCGACACGGGACTGGCTGGCTCTGCAGGCACTATTGCACCGCCGGGCCGTTTGAGCAGTACAGACGGCCACAAGGGTGGAGACTCGCAATACCCTTCATATCCGCCGAATCGCAGCGGCATGAGTGTCTTTGCAGGCAAGCCAGCTCCCACCATGGCTGGCCTGTCACCGGCCCTCGAGCCAAGCTTTTCTCTGGCCACGACGCCAGCGGGAAACATCGATGGCCCCACTGACTGGCCACAGTGGGATGATCCCCACCACCCAAGGTCAACCCCTGATTGGCCAGCATCGGGCCTCAAGCTGGCCTCATCCGTTGCCCATTCATATGCAGCTCCACCAACGTCACACGCTCCTACCAAGCCGCCTCATACTACTGCTTCTCCTGCGGGTACCCCCAACTGGAACTCACCCGATCCTTCGCCCTGGGCAACGTCGCCACCCCCCTCGCTCCACTCGCCCGCACCGGCCACGACATCCGCTCGCAGCTCGGTCAGCAACACCCCGCCTTTGCGCTTCCACGAAACTACGGTGGACTTTCAATTAAGCCAACGCGCGGCGGCGCAGACCCCTCCCTCCGATGCGCTCTCCTTCACGGATCTGCGCAGCCAAGCCTCGACCCGTTCAACCGAGCAACCAACCCAATCACCTCCCACACCCACGGCTTCCCAGAGCGACAATCTACCTGGAAGCAGATCGTCAGCGCAGGATGTGGCGCCCCTCCACAAGCGAATCGCTCAGCAAGATCAAATCATCAACCAGCTGCAGGCTTCGGAGGCTCATCTGAAGCGAGAACTTCACGGTCGGAAATGCTGTCATCTTGACTCCGGACCTTTCTCAACTGCACGGCCTCACATCTTTCCCTTTTTCTCAATAGGCCTGTCACAAGAAGCCGAGGAAGCTCATCATTCCTTGACCAAGGTGCTCGAAGATGCAGCCGCCAAGGTAAATGCATGGTACCCATCGCCGCCTCTTGCGCGGCTTCTCCAAAGCGCACAAGCTCGCACCGTCTTCTCCAAAACGCACAAGCACGCACCAACTCCATGAAATCTTCCGTTTGGCAGGACACTGAAATTGAGCAGCTACGCGGTCTGCTGGCGGCGCAAAATGGCGAAATGGTAAACCCATGCCCAGAATTCCCACACCCCACTACCAAGGGCCGAGTCTCACATTCACACTCCCAAACTCATAGCGTAAGCAGCAGGAACGGATCGGCCAACTCGAGGCGGCACAACGGAGATCCTCTGCCTCGACCGAGAACGAAGCACCGGCGTTGGAAAGAGGTTTGCTCCTTGTCTATTCATCGTGACTCAGCATGCCCGCTACCTGGTTTGGCTGGTGGCTTTGCCTCATTGTTTTTATTTGTTCCCTCTCGCGCTCTCTGTCTCTCTCTCTCTCTCTCTCTCTCTCTCTGTCTCTCTCTCTCTTTTCAAAGAAATGGCGAGGCGAAAGGAGCTTGAGAGCCGACATCAACAATTACAGAACTCGTATGCCACACAAACCGCAAAATTGCGCGAGATTGAAACCCAACTCAACGGCTATCACCAGCAAGCAGGTTAATACCCAAGCGTGCCTAGTACCCTTGCCTCCAAAGCCCTGTGATCCGCGAATCGGCTGTCATGATTTGAAACCCTCATGTCTTGATTTTGGCTGCTCAGGGTCGCTCTCTGCCCAGCTGAATGAAGCTCGGCGAGAACTTGATAGTGTTAGGGACGTAGCCAGTCGACAAACGGAAAAGCTTGAGGTTGCGCTGCGTGAGCATAGTCAGCTGGAACGTACACTGACAGCCCTTAGGACTACACACCGCCGTGAACTGGAGGAGCTTGAGACCCAACTGCGTGCCGAGATGGGCCCAAATGCTGTATGTTTGTCATTTTTTGTCCCTCAAGAGTTACGCTCACCCCCCCACCAGGCCCGCCGCAAGAAAAAAAAATTGTTATCTGACAGCTGTCCTGCATTGGCCGTGTTTTTTCCATCTTCCACAGCCTTCCGCCAAGGCAGTGGCAAAACCTGCGTCGGCAAAGCCAGGCTTGTCTCCGTCCGTAGCCATGTCTTTACCCCCACTGCCCGATGGCAATGCACCGCGACCGGAAGAACTACGGGAGGTTGCTTTGGCCAAAATGGAGCGTCGCGTCGAAGAGCTTCAACAGCAACTTTCTGATGCTCGTAATCTTCTCGAGGCCAGCCTCAACGAGCGCAAGCAACTGCGCGCCGCGCTCGCCAAAGAACAGTCCATAACTGCTCGGGTTGGTTTGTGCTCTGTGCAAGCTGTGGTTGACCTGACACATGTGACTCCTCACCACAACTTTGACTCTCTTGTCTCGACCCATCCTGCCAGCTCGAGCAGGAAACCAATACCATTGGAGACTACGTCATCATGTACCAGAAGCAACGAGCAGCTTTTCGCGAGCAGCTGGCTGCCAAGGACGCAGAACTGGCAAGCCTGCGGGGCGATGTTGCCCACGCACCCCCCAAGGCTTCCAATAGCGCATCGTCGGCGCCAAGTCGGCCCTCTGTGGCACCGCCCACACGCGACTCGTCTTATCCTATCCCCTCCCGACCACAACCGTCGACAAGCGTTGATCACCTCTCTATACCTCGCCAACACCGACCCCAAGGTCTTTTGACGGACAGCGTCAGTGAAGCAGGTTCAGACGCCAGCAACTTTATGGATGGCCCAGTCGACCCGCAGGGGCCCCATGTGCTGACAGCCGCGGCGTCTGCGCGTGCCCAAGCCCAATCATCTCAAACACGCTCGACTTTGCGACCAAGTGAAACCCCAACCTGGCTACTCCAAGCCGGGCGTCGTGGCGGCGCTGCCACTGAAATTTAGGAATGAAATGACTCACCACTCAGACCTTGACCTTGAAAGCTATGGATTCACACTTCAAGTTCACTTCTTTGCGCCAACGATTGGATTCAAAAGTCGGGCGCGAGGTAGCGCATCAAAATTAAGAGCACGTGTGCCTCGGGCACGCAGTCACAACAAGCCTAACAACATGGCGTAAAAAAAAATGAATGGATGTGAAATAACATAAAGTCCAAAAGTGGCGTCCAAGAGCAAGAGGGGAAGTGTCCTGGCGCAGAGGGATGGGCTTCAGGGTCATCATCCGATGGTCGGAATAACATAGGGCGTGAAAACTGCTCCTGAAACGCCCTCGCGGTTCCCAGGTAGGTCAGGACCTTGAACCCAATGCGTGCCATTGAAAAATTCGACGGACGAGCTGTTGGCCGAACCTGCACCTCGGCCTGCGCGCCGTCCTCCGGCTGCCACGAGCTGGTCGTCGTATTCGACAACCAGGAAGCTCGACCGCGGGGCTGCCATGTGCACTGCCGAAGCCCAAGTAGTGCCGTTGAAGGTCTCCACGCTGCGCATGTCAAAGGCATCGGCATCAACACCACCCAGGACAAATAGCTGGTTTTGAAAGACGGCCAGCGCTGGGCTGCGCCGCCCTTCAAGCAGGTTGGGCGCCGATGTCCACGTGATGCCATCAAACACCTCCACGCGCTGCGTAGGACCTGCCTCCAACCCCCCAACTGCATACAGCGCGTCTTCAAACACGCTCACAGCAAGTTCTTGCCATGCAATGTTGAGCGCTGGCCCAAATTGCCAAACCCCGTCCCCATTGAACAGCAGCTCCACAGTAGCAGTGGGGCCCACCGCGGTCGCACCGCCCACAGCATATAGCACGTTGCGGTACACAGCCAGCCCAAAGTGAGAGCGCCCCATCAGCAGCGACGCACCGAAGCTCCACTCGCGTCCATCATACACCAGAACCGTGTCCACCACGGCGTTGCTCGAGTTGACACCACCCACGACAAAAAGCGAGTCTTCAAAGACCGCTGCCGCAGCAAAGCCACGTGGCCCAGAGAGCGGTGCCGCGGGAGTCCACGACGATCCATCAAAAGTCGAGACAGTGTCCGTTGGATCCGTTAGATCCTGACCCCCGACGGCATAGACGCGAGCGGGAAAGAGCCGCTGCATGGCGGCTTCGAGCGCTGCAATCTCCCGGGCCTGCTGCTCGATTTTCGTCAACAGGATGAGCGGGTTGAGGCCATTGACAATGACGCTCCCAGCCACGTCGCTGCTGTTCAGGTGCAGGTTACCCTCAGAGTCCACCATGACCACCGCTTCTCTTGCCTCCACGCCCCATAATGCCGACATTAACAGAGCCCCGACCCACAACCCGAGCCGCCATCGACCCGAACCCCGTCGCGACATGTCCAACATCTAAAAAAAAAAAAAAATGCCGACGCGAAGCAACTCGTTCGTTTTGTTTTTTGCTTTGAAAGATCTTTTTCTGTTTTTTTTTTTTTTTTTCTTTTTGTTTTCTTGATGTTTTTTTTTTTCTTTTTCCGGTTTTTGATGATCTCTTCTCTTTGTGGGGAAGAATGGAGAGACTGGATTCAGAATGTGATGCCCCATGGATTGACTTCGTGCACACACGGGACGAAATGAAGAATGACAAAGAGAAGAGGACAAGTACAATATGCCTCCCGTAGAGCAGTCGCTTGAATCCCGACCTGCTCAAATACAGTTCTAAAACATTTAAGATACGCAAGCACCAACGGCGTTCTCAGCCCCGCAAGCTACGACGACTTCCGCTCCACAAAAGCTAGTTTTTGAGCCAGTCAAGATCGTCGTCGTCATCGTCATCATCATCAAACAGCTTGGCCTTTGGCGCCTACCGCATCGGCAAGGATCAAGGTGAGGTGCAGTGACTCGAGCCTCCACAAACAATCAAGTCGGGTCGTGCAACTGCAACCTGAAACATACCTGGGCTGTAGCAGTGGTACTGGGCGGGCCAAAGTCATCGTCCTCATCCTCGTCCTCACCAAAGGGATCGGCAGCATCCAAGCGAGGAGCCTATGCGCGCACAGTCACAATCAAACACACGTCAGATAACAAGGCGTCATGCCGGGCGGAGAACCATCCATTTAGGGCAACCAAGGAGGTTCAGAAGTGGTTTACCTTGGTGCTTTCCGTGGCTGGCGTTTGCGCATTGCTATTGCTGGAGAAAATGTCACCAGCCTCATCATCTTCGTCATTCTCAAAAAAGCTGTCCTTCGATTTGCCAGGTGTGGCGGCATCCTCATCCACACCTGCCTGGGCAGCCGCGGGCACAATGTTATCATCTGCATCAGACTCCTCGTCTTCCTCGACTTCGTCCAACGGCGGAGGTGCCATGCCCGGCTCGGAAACCTCATCGTCTTCCCCGTCAATGACGTTTTCCTCCGCTGCAGCCTCGTCAACAGCCTCGGCAACTGCATTGGTTGTATCGTCCTGTTGCTCATACTCCTGCTCAATAACAGCAGCGTCAGAGGTCTGCTCGTCGTCCTCTGGTGCGTCGGGCTCGTCATCCTGACTAGGCTCCTCGGGAGCTGAATCAACCTCTTCTGCATCCTCCGCCGGCTCGTCCTTGTGCTCTGAGACAGCCTCTGCGTCTTCTGCCTCGGTTTCATCATCTGACCCAAGTGCACTGCCGGCGTCGTCGACCGCGACATCGCTTGCCTCCGCCCCAATGTCTGCCAAGTGAGAGGCGACATCGTCAGTCTCCTGTTCTTGCTCCTGCTCTTGCTCCGGTTCTTCGTCCTGCTCCTCGGGTTCCTCTGTTTCAGCTGCCAAGGTAGGCTCTTGTGAGATTACAGGTTCGGCCTCGGGCTCAATCGACTCCTCCTCACTCTCGGCGGCGGCGTGGCTGGTGGCGCCTTCGTCCTCATCAACAGCTGTTGCTGCATTGCTATCAGTGACTGCCGCCGCATTGTTTGCCGACACGTCGCTTTCTTCCGCCGCTGCATCATCCTTAGCCTTCTCCTCTTCATCATCCTCTTCATCATCCTCTTCATCATCCTCGCCATCACCCTCGCCATCATCCTCGCCATCATCCTCGCCATCCTCGCCATCCTCGTCTTCCTCGTCCACCTCGTCTTCCTCGTCCTCCTCATCTTCATCTGCCTCGGAAGCACCAGAAGGTGCAGCGGCGTTGGCCTGCGCCAACATGGCACCCAGCTTGCTCTTGAACGTCTGCTTGAGCAAGGCGAGTAGGGCGTCCTTATCCTCGGCCTCCTCGGCCTCGGTTTGCACCTCTTGCACGACAGACACTGCAAAGCGCTTGAGATCATCAAAGCTGAATCCAGATGCCGTAACGACCGCCGGCGTGGTACCAGCGGCCGTCGAGGCCAATGCCTGACCGCGAGCAAATGCCGCTGCCTCGCGGTCTTGCACAGAGGCCTCCAGCTTGGCCAGATCAGCACGCAGCCGCTGCGCCTCGGCATTGGATTTGGCCGAAGCACTGCTGGCCCCGTCACGCATCTCCTCTTCGAGAGCTTCGTAGCGAGAGCGCCAGCGCTGCTCCGTGCTGGCCACAGCTCGATCAAGCTTGGCCTGCCATTCCGAAGCAAGCTCATCTTGTAACTTTTCGGCTAGTTCCGCCGACGAGCTTTCGGATGACTGTTTGGCCTTGCGAAGCTGCAAATGACCAATCAAGTGTCACTTTGTGAGCAGGTAGCATTGAAAAAGAAAAAAAAAAAAAAAAAAAAAAAAGCGGGCAACCCCACAAGTCTTCAAGATGACGTGGCGATGCTTGCTTCTCTCTCTGTTCGCACAGATGAATTTACCTGGCGTTTGAACTTGTCGACAGTGTCCTCATGGGTGGATCGCAGCTCTTCCAGTTCTTCCTCGAGCCGTGCCTTCTCATTGCTGTGCTTCTTCTTGGCAGCAGCGAGCTTCTTTGTCAGCTCCTCCTGCTTTTCGCTGGCTTCCGAAAGCTGCTCTTGCAAATCCTCGATTTGCTTCAGCGCATCTTTGCGGGTCTTTTGCTCCTCACGGAAGCCACGCTCCAGTTCCTCGATCTTGGCAGTAGCGCCATCTTCGGCTGCTCGCATGGCCGTGGACGACGACTGCAGCTGCGCATGCTGCTCCTTGAGCTTCTCCAATTGACTTTGAAGCTCACGCTCTCGCTGAGCCATGGCACCATGGTCTTCCTGTAATTGCGTTAGCTTGGCTGTCGCGTCACTCAGCTCCTCGGTCATTTGCGCTTTCTCCTTTTCCAGCTCCAACACGCTAATGCCAGGCAAAGAGCCAAACGCGAGACACACAGACATGGCCAGGAATGCCGATACTTGAGCAAGTGTCATGTTGCCCAGAGCAGCTTTTCAAGCTCGAGCGCAAGCCGTACCGCGTCTGAGCCTGTGCCGTTGTCTGCTTGAAGGAATCGTTGCGTTGCTCCAGAACGAGGTTGCTCTCTTCAACAAATCTGGGAAAAGAGCCCGGCAGCCAAAGGTGTCAGACTAACAGCTTTGATGTCGAGCACAAACAACACAACCGGTGCCAGGCACGAGACTAGAATGCACGCACTTTTGGTTGCGCTCCAAGAGTTGAGCAATCTTTTCGTTTTGCTGTTCAATGCGTGCAGACTTTTCAAAGACTTCGCGCTTCAGGCGCTCCGACTCTTGGATGATGCGCTGAATGTTATACATCAAGACTTGACTCTCCATTTGAGGCATCATGTTACCATTGCCACCAAACGGAGAAAGGGCTTGTTGATGTTTTTCAAGCTTCTCAAGCTGCTCAGACACCGAGTCGACCTTCTTCTGCACAGATCGCAGCTGTTCATTGGTATCTACGCCAACACGCCATGAGTTACCCGAGAGAATGTGCAGCGCAGTCATGCAATTAGAGCTCTGGCTACATGGCGCGTGTCAATACAAGGGCACCACTCGTACCCTCATGTTGCTTGCGCGTTTCCTGCAAAAGGCCCGCTGCAGTAGCTGGGAGAGGGGTGCTGCTCATCTGGTTGAATTGCTGCTCACTGACAGGACCCGCCTGCTGCATGCCCGGCTGGCCTCCAAACATGCCTTGGCCGGGCTGCTGTTGTTGCTGTTGATGCTGCGATGTGGGGCCATACTGCCAAGCAAGAGGGTAGGCGGATGAGCGACCAAAAACTTCAAAGCTCCACGGTGGTGAGAGGGGCTCTGGGACCCGATTCGACCCACCTGCTGCTGCAATTGCTGTTGAAAGTTTTGCAGCTGCTGGGGCGGTGGGGCTTGGTATAAGCTGAGTGCCTGCTGCTGTTATCAGCATCGGGTGCACAGCCATGGTACAAAAGGAAGGTGGCAAAAACAAACGTGAGGGTGCATGCTGTTTTGAACCAAGGCGGTTTTGGGTACATGGTCGGCACAATGGGCTTACTTGAGCGCCACCTTGCTCATGCTGCTGCATCTGCTGTTGGAACTGTTGCTGTGGAGTGAGCAGCTGTCCTTGTTGGCCATACATGGGATTTCCCATTTGACCATAGGAACCTGGCTGCTGTTGTTGTTGCTGCTGCTGCTGTGCGATGCTTCCGTCCATGGAAGGAGCAAAGGGAGATTGTCCGTAGATCATCTGACCCGTACGGGGATCGTACGTGCCGGCCGCGCTAGTCTGCGGGCCCATGTTCTGATATTGCTGCTGCTGCTGTGGGTGCTGCATGTGAGCAGGAAGTTGCTGACCATAGCCCGGAGGCTGTTGCTGGACGGTTTGGCGATGTTGTTGTGGGGTCATCATGGCGGGTTGACCAATTTTGGCCATGCGCTGTAACAGATCAGCCTTGCTGCCGTCGACACCATCCGCATCAAAATGGGAAATAGTAGACATGGCTGGGCTGCTAGGAGCTGGGCGCTCCGATGGGGCGGGGCTCGTTTCTGCAGCAGCAGTGGCGGAAGCCGCCGGGGCTGGAGCTGTCTCGGACAGAGCATCCGCAGGTGCTGTGAAGGTATTGCCATCGCGGTCCTTGAAGCGATTCATGAAAACGTCGTACAAAACCGGCCTACGATGGAGGTACAGGTCCCAACAAGATTCAAAGACCACAAGGAGAAAGCGTGTCAGCAAAAGCTGCTTGCAAAGAGACGATTCAGGAGATAGGGATTCGAAAGCACGCACGTGTTGGGAGGAACGTCAGTGCCCTTGCCGCTGGGACCATACGCCTGGGCCGCCGGTACGCCCAGGAAGCGACGGGCACCGGCCGTGACACCAGTCAGGCCTGTGGCATTGACCGCGTGCAGGTGAGCTTGAGATGACCTTCAGCAGCAACCACCGAAAACAATGGAGCCATGCGTCAAAGAGTATCGTTGGGTGGGACACACCTTCTTCCAAGCCTGCAATGACCTTGCCCTTGCCGAGCTTGAAGCGATAGGAGCTCTCCTTGACGAAAGATTGACCAAATTTGCCGCCGTTGTAAAGGAATCCTTGGTAACGAATGTCCACGGATTCTTTGCCCGTCGTGGAGGTTGTGCCTGTGGCACAAGTCAAGTCTGGGCATGGCAGAAGGAGACAATGAGCCAACAGAAGCAAGGAATAACAACTACAGGCAAAGTCGACGGGGACCTCAGCCGGGTTGTGAGATGACAGGCAGGCCCGTGGTACCTTGGATGATGACTTCCTGGGCTTGAGCGGCTACAAAGCGGCTGAGTCCGACTTGCTTGGCAAAATCAACGGCTTGCTGTGCAGTGTCAAAGTGGACCGACCAGTTCTGGCGTTGATCATCATAAAAGCTGCGGAGGATGAACACAAGTGGCATATGCGAGCAATGAGCCTTGCCAGGAATTGCCTGCAGAGTTGACGACGTCATCCGTAATGGCATACGTACTTCATGTAGTTGTTCTGTTGTGGGGTCAGCACAAACTGGGGGGTGATGGTGGCCGTAGTGACACGCTTTTTGTCGGCAGAGTAGATGTAGAGTTGTTGCTGTGTCAAGTCCGTCGAGCCCCAAACAGCGGCGAGAATCGGGCAGGCAACTTGGAGTGAGATATGGTTGTCTGCTCTGCACGCGCGCGCACATGCCGTGAAGAGATCTTGCAAGTGTCTCAGTAGACCGACCTGAGTATCGACGGAGCCTAGAATGGCACAGCCGAGCTTGCCTCGGGGCTCGTATTGGCCGTTGGTACTGTGTCAAGTCAGGCAACGGCGTAAACAGGGGCGTGAACAAGGGCGCGTGCTGAATTCAGGTTGATTGTGTCGGCTGAAGGGACACGGGGAGCTATTGCCAGGGTGACAGGACGCACTGCTGAAAAACGTGTGCAGTCACGGCGTGCTGGAGTGGAAGGCCTGTGGTGCTGGCACTGGTAGCTGCTATGACGACCCACACAATCGTACCAGGTTGCGTTGCGTGAGAGACAGGTGTGAGCAGCAGGGATGGCATGCCAAAGCGACGCCACAAAGCTGTCGGGATATGGGCTGGGTTGGCAGGGCTTACCAGCTGGGGCAGCAGCAGCTGGGGCAGCTTGCTGCTTGGGTGTTTCGGTGGGACGGGTGTAACTAAAATCGTCGTTACCACCAGCTTGTTCGCCCCCAAACAGACTATCGAGCTTGTTTGGTCTATTGGCAAGAGCGGGCCGCAGGAATAAGCACAGGCCGAAGCGGGGCAGGGCTGGAAGCAGGTGACAACACGAGCAGAGGGAGTCGCCTACCCGCCGGGACCACCGAGAGAGAAATCATCATCTTCACCACCGAGAAACGCCATGATGGCGTTGCGGTGCTGTGGCGCAGGTCAGTGAGGGACGGCAGGTCAGAGCAAAGGCCAGAGAAAGCTAGAAGGGCCGACCGGCGTTGCAGCCGCGACCTAAAGATCAAATGTGACAAGGAGGCCAGCGCATGGTGGGGCCGGGACGGGGTACGGAGCTTGAGTGAGACCGGTGTTCGTCACCAAAAAAAAAAAAAAAGAAGAAGAAGAAGAAGAAGAAGAAGAAGAGAGAGAGAGACACACACACACACACACAGAGAAACAGCACAAGAGCTCCCTCGAGCGGGCTCTGGAGCATCGGCTGGCCAACATCGGCAGCTGACCGGGCCAGCATGCCGGCCAAGTGACGGGCGATCAAAATGCAGTAGCATTGCGGGGCTTCAACGATGGCCCCGATGGCCCCGATGGCTTGAAAGGACAGGAAAGTACAGAGGCACTTGGCAGAGCCGGTCTCGGAGAGGGGCTCCACTCCCGATCGATCCCGACCGGGGCAGTCGGCTCTTGCACGTGTGCAAAATCGCACCAAGCGACGCCATGAGCCCCATGATCTCTGACTCTTCCTCGTATTCTCCACGTCCCCACACGGCAGGCATCCGGTCCTCGTGCCAGATCCGTCGCCGACAGCCATCAGAGCCACTGGCCGCCGTACGAGCGCGCGCGCCGAGATCGCCGTTCACACACACACACACACACACACACACAGACGTACGTACTCGGTCAGTTGCTCGCTCACAGAAACTCTATGATCCTCTGTGATTGATGTCAATTTGGGCTCTATCTCTACAGGAGGGTGCGGGTCTTTGCGCAACCTCTGGAGGTGGTAGCCTTTACAGCTTGCGCTCGTTCGAAGGCTGTGCGTCTTCTCTGAACAAGTGAGAGCCGCATTACGTGTCTCTGAATACACTCGGGTGTTCATACACATCTCTGCCTGCTTTGTTTCCTCCACGAAACGCTACCATCTGTCAGCTTCCGGCGCTCAACTTTAAGCCTGCACTGCTACCAACTGTCGCCCCACTTTTGCTGACAATCTGACATCTCGCCAGTTGCCGGTGTTGTGTTGCTCAACTCTCTCTCTCTCTCTCTCTATCTCTCTCTATCTCTCTCTCTCTCTCTCTCTCTCTCTCTCTCTCTCTCTCTCTCTCTCTCTCTCTCTCTCTCTCTCTCTCTCTCTCTCTCTCTCTCTCTCTCTCTCTCTCTCTCTCTCTCTCTCTTCTCTC